TCATTTTATATATCGTTTATATAATTTATTTATTGAGACCGACCGCTGAAGGTCATTACAATATATTATTCGCTTATATCAATGTTGTACCTTAACAAAATGCAGTGCATAAGTTATTTTACTTTTTTTTTTTTGTAATTCTTATATCGTTTTTAATTTTAAGAGATTAAATATCAATGTAATGTTTATATATCATATTAAAAATTATACATATTCCATTAAAGAAATTCTTTGAAATCAAATATTACAAGACAACGACTTAAAGCTGTGACTATGAGATCTATAATTAATCTATTATAATTATAAAAATTTATTAAAGATATAAATAAAATAAAAAAACACACTGCAATAGAAAAAACAAATAAATTATTTATATTAAAGCTTATGTGAACAATTTAAAATTTAATAAAAATTAATATAAATATAATTTAAAATTATATTTTTATATAAATATAAATTAAAGTTATATTTACATATGAATAAAATGAATATATTATAATATAATATAGTCCAAAATATAATACAAATATAATTTAAAATCACATTTTAATATAAATATAATTTTATATACATTTTAATATAAATATAATTTTATATTATATTTTCTTATAATGTTATTTATATTATAATAATTTTTTCAATAAATGTGTTGTTTTTAATATTTAGTTTTTGTTACAATTAATTATTTTTACAAGATTTATCATAAACTCGATACATATCAATATATTTTTTTTTAAATTTTTTGCATAAAGTATATATTTTTAACAAATTAATTTTAATATATTTTTTTTTTAATTTTATTTTTAATTTTTCTTTTATTTATCATCTCTTTCATTTAAAATTATTTCTCAATAACACTGATGTTTTAGCACAAAATTTTTTGTATTATTTTTATACATAATATTTTGTTATTTAAAACTTGTTTTATATAACATTTAATATCTTTTTTCATGTAATATTTTCTTTTTTAAATATATTTTGTTAATTTCATTTTTTATTTGGTATATTATTTAACTATTATATGTTTCATATATCTTATTCTTTACTCTTTAACTTTTTTTTAACTTTTACATAAATATATAATTATGTATAAGTTTATGTACTTATATATATATATTTATTTCGTTATTGTATAACTATAAATATTATACATTTATTTATTGTACTTTTCATTGCATTCATTTTCTGTATTTATATGGAAAATATATATTCTATATTTATATCTATATTTATATTCTTTATTTATTTATAATTTATATAAATAAAAAAAAATTTTATATATTAATTTTATATATATTATATTTTGTATTTATTGAGCTTTAAATTAATTAAATTTTCTGTTAACTATAACTTTTATTCTCTTTTAAAAATTTTTTTTTATTATTATTTTTTTTATTATTTTTATTATTATTATTATTTTTATTATTATTATTATTTTTATTATTATTATTATTTTTATTATTAGTATTATTTTTATTATTATTATTATTTTTATTATTATTATTATTTTTATTATAATTTTTATTATAATTTTTATTATTATTTTCATCTTTGTAATTATTTTTTATAAGTTTTATTAACATAATTTATTTGTTATTTTATTCCGTATATTTTTTGATCAATTTTTATTTAAAAAATTTAAAAAATATTTATAATTGATTAAATTTTATTTATATTTTTTTATATTTTTTTATATAATATTGTAGCATTTTCAAAACAGTTTTAGTTTATTTTCAAAAATTTATTGTTAATTGATCATTTGGTTTCACATCTTAAACTTTTTTTTTTTAACTTTTTAAAAATTAATTTAAATAATTAATTACAACAAATAATTACAACACAAAAAAAATTATTGCCACAAAATTGTTTTTTTTTCTTTCTTTCTTAAGTTGCTTTAAGTCACAGTCTAAAAATCTAAGTAATAATGCATAGCAAAATTCAAAAAAAAAAGATTCACATATATGCTATATATATTTGTATATATATATTGTTAGTTACTAATAAAGGCTTCCAAAACAAAAATAAACCAATAATAACTAGAAAAATTTGAACCAATGTTTTGACTGCCAGTTAAGGTTGTTATTGTTATGCATAACCGAAATTTTGAAGTTTTCTTAAATGTAGAATATATGTATATAATGTGAAAATATTTTATATATAAAAACACAACTAGTATTATAATAAAAATTAAGCCTAATTTGTGAATAATATTGTGCCTGTTTTTTTTTTATTAAATTATATTGTAAGAAGTGTTTTATTCAATACTGATGCTTGTTGGCATCGATAAGTTAATATAAAATTCATTTTATATATAAAATAATTAAATTTTTTTTGTTATAAGTTTAAAGTTAATAGTTTCAATAACATTTCTCGAAATAATATATATTTCACACTATAACTAATATATCATCAAATATATAAAAATATTCATATAAAATAAAAAACAAAAAAAAAAACATTGAAATAATCTGCTAGAGCTCATACTTTTTTTGAATTATAATTAAAATAATGTGATGTTGATCTTTAAATTTAATATTTTCAATTTAGAAATTTAATTTTCCGTTCTTATATTGTTGCTGCTTATATATAAAGTATACATAAAGCATAAAACATATTCATTTACACATATTAAATTTAAGTATATATCATAATATATTAATCTATATATTACTATTAATATTATAAGATAAATATATATTTATATTTTGTTATTGATGTAAGTTTAAAATTGAAAATAAAATATTTTATTTACCCATTAAATTTGAGTTTTATTTAATGTTTAATTTTTGGTATAAAATTAAAAAAAAACTTATGATAATTTTTGATAAATTATTTGAAAAGTTTAACCAATTTTGGGGATTAAAATGATTAATAGCTTTTAAAACAGTTGAGTACGTGGTCAGAGTTTTTTCCTTTTTCGTCTCTCTTCACTGTAAACGAGTTTTCAACCAGTGAAATTCATCTCGTGTGGCCTTAAGCAAAAATTAATCCAATAATATTATATATAAAAAAGTAGTCGAATGTGTTCAGGGCATGTCAAATCGTCTTACCAACAGTTAAACGATCTTATGTATATTTCATATAATATATTGTTTTTAAAAACTACAGTACAGTATTAGTTGTCATATTATTAACAGGTTGGTTTGTTAATGGTCCATCCTTAGAATTTTTTAATTCAAGGATTTGAAAACATTTATTAGTAGTTAGCATATCAGTTAATGATCGTAAGAAAGTTAGGTTTAAATTAATATACTCCACTTAGCAGTCAAGAATTAAAGTAGTAGTAGTAGTAGTAGTAATAGTATATCAGTTTGAGTGAAACTCTTTTTGGATAATGTGTCAAAATTAAACAAAAAAACTTGTACACTAATTAATAAAATAGAAGGAGGTGGTTTTACAAACAGTGACGTAATAGATAGTGTATTGACATCGGTCAACAAACTTGTAATTTATCAGCAAACAAATTCATTTTGTTGTACACGAAATAAGAGACCTCGAAGTTTAAAATTTCAGTAGAATCCAAAGTTGATTCTATAAAATAGCGATACCAATTCACAAGAGGTTAAAATATTCTTATGGGAGATATAACACTACTACCTTAAGAGTTATTGTGCTCTAAAGATCACGACAGCGTCAAAATATTAAAACAACAAAGCTTACTCAGACAGTTAGCTGTAGACTGGAATACTAAAAGGAACCAAACCAGGGTTGTAACAGTAGCTGGACAGAAAACTTCAAGACTGCAAATAACTAAGCCGAACAAAATGGGTAGTATCCGTAAAACAGTCTGTGTCACACAATATCATAAATATAAAACTAAACTTTTTGAGAAACGATAAATCTTAGTACATATAATATATATCTAATATATATAACATATATACACTGTCAAAATAACACAATGTGCTGAAAAGAATAACGCCTCGTCTCTTTATTTTTTAACTGAGTATTATTGTGTACTAAGCATTTATCACGATAAAAGCATTTTGAGTGATGATATTCAGACATTTAACACCACTTTTATAGGTCAAAACTCAATTCAGGGACCGTAAAGTCACTCTAACAAACTCTCTAACAATTTATTACACCTAAAGTTGTACTAAAAGAAGTCTATTAAGATCAAATGTCAGATTTAATAGTAATTGCTTTTTAAAATATGACAAATTAGTTGAAGATTTACCAGAGTTTAAATACTAGGCTGTGGTAATAAGTTATATGTTATAGATGATAGGCCTGAGAATAGAAATTTCTTTTTTAAACCCATAAAATTCTTCAAAACTAAAATTTTGACATATATTGAGGTGTTATGGGCTGTTAAATTCTATGAAAAGAACCATCTATCGAGTATTGCTTTGATTCATGTAACTAAAAAATGTATCTTACTGAGTCGAGTCAGGTGCTAATAGGTCATGTACTATTAATTTTAGATAATTAATATAATTATATTAATTAATTATATTAATTAGTTATTAATTATAATAGAAAAATAAGCTGTTATTTTTAAATTACAGGTTTAATATGTTTTCAAGTTTTTTTTTGACATCACAAAACACTTTTTTGTTGTCTTTTCTTTTATATTGGACATTTTAAATTGAGACCGACGACATCAAAAAATTGGTATCCAAAACTGGAGGTCTAAAACAACATGCAGCAGAAGTAAGAAAGCTGGTTGATTCAGCTAAAGCTCACCTCGAGCTGTAACGCTGATGATGATGATTCTAAACTGAGAAGCTAGGATTCTCTTGAAAAATAATTGACATTTTTGTGGACTGATATATTTATTCAAAATT